TACCATAATAACGTACCAAAATCTCTCAAGTAAATGTGCATCATATGCTTCTGTTGAAAAACCCTTTACTCTTTCTCAAATTTGACTTTTTTCTTTTTTTGTACGAATGATATTGTGGGGTTGAGAAAAGGATGTGGTTGGGATGAGAGGTTAGTGGAGAGAGGTGAGTAAATTTTATTTTATTTTTTATTTTTATTCTTAAGTAATCCTTTTTTAGTTATTTATTTATGAATTATTATTATTATTATTTTTTTGATGTACATATTTTTTATAATTATTTTTATTTGTTTATTTATTATTATTATTATTATTATTTTGGGCTATTACAGGCTACCCAATGAGTTCTTTGGTTTGAACTCCGGTGAGGAAATAGTTTTCCGACAAACTTTGGAGGTGAATAACTTAGGCTAGGATCCACAAAAAGGTATAAAATCAATCCCTAGTTCTTCCTTATAATACTATCTTTAAGTTTCACGAAGAAATCAAGAGAAAAATGCATTAAATTGGAGAGTCAAGTTTTCAGGCGGCAAAGACACTACCCGCGCAGGCTAAAGGAAGAAGACAATGACGTGGCTAGTTTAGTTGAACCGGCCATGTCAACCCACAACTCGACCCTTCCTCGATTTCTCAATTTTAAATCTCTTCTAGACCAATCGTTGTGAAAAACTTTATAATTTTAGAAACTAGACACTCTAAGGATTCTGTCTCTTTTTTTTTTTTTGAAGTAATTTGGATACCGAAAGCTCGAGAATAGAGGTCCCGAACGTCAATGACGTAAGTAGGCATCTTAGATTTTTCTTAAGAAATAATTGTAAGAGCTGCTTGAATTTCTGTATAAACCTTAGCCCATAAGAAAATATGAAAGAAAAACACCAAGAACCGTGAGTTAAAGCCCTGAACTTCTCAATTTGCTCGTGATTGAAGAAATGTTAAAATAACCCACTAAACTAACTTCGCAACCTACAAATTTTTAATAGAATATTATGGCATGTTAAGATTATATATGAACTTTTATGGTCATTAGTTAAAGTTAAGTAGCTAAACCAAGTAACGGCGAAAAATGACCATAATGCCCCTAAAGTAACTTATCTTCGGTTCATGGTCTAGATGACCTCCAAATACTATGAAACTTTATAATAGATCTTATTTTATGATTATTAGTTATTTTGTAAAGTTTGAAAGCTATTGGAACACATTAGCTAAATCAAGAATTAAAGGTAAAATGACCAAAATAATCCTAGGACTTTTTAAAGATAATTCAAGGTCTAAACACCCTCCAAATTACTCACTTACTTTTTGTAACGCTTATTCTCAAGAATATAAAAGCATGTTAAGAATTTCAAGTCGACTCGAGCAAGTTTAGAACCTAAACTAAGTTAGGGCCTAAGAAAGGCTTAAAGAAAATATCTCAAGTAACTCTTACCAAAGATCCAAAACTCTTCTAGAATTATCTAAGAACATTTTATAAATTCATGACATCTTGAATAACTCATGCTTGTTAATGTTTATAAGTTATGAATGCATGTTATGATTTACGCCTCAATAAATTAAGAACCTTAGAAAAGTAAAGAAGGATTGTGAACCAAGGAAAATGTCACGAAAACTCTACAACTACCAAGATAAGAAGAATTCTAGATATGACTCAAGTATAATGGACCAAAGTCTTATGAGAAACTCAAGAAAATCTTAAACCTCCCATGATACAGCATGTTCATGATTCAGACTACATCGCTTGGAACGTAAAAAGTCTTGGATATAGGTTTACAAACTATGCTATTTGAAATGTATGAAGCCTTGAGCGTAGGTATTTAAACTATGCCGCTTGGAACATATGAAGTCTTGGGCATAGGTTTTCAGACAGTATCCCAGGGAACGTATGAAGCCCTAGTGCGGGATCAGACTATGTCACTTGGAACGCATGAAGCCTTGAATGTAGGTTAAGACTATGTTGCTTGGAACGTACAAAGCCTTGGACACAGGTTGTCAGATTCATGACTAGTACCGTAAAATATAGGAGAAGTGTCTTGGAGAACAAACTGAGAACAAACTAAGAACAAAACAAGAACATTTAACCAAGAACAAGACAACAATCAAGGACTAGAACATGGATCAACATCGAAGTTCTAAAGGCAAGAAACCAGAACCTTAGTACTAAGACCCTTAGATCAGAACCAAGGTTCAAACCTCAAAATCAAAGACCAAAGGCCTCCATCTAAGAACACATAAGTTGAGAAAAGAACCAAAGGGCCTAAATACTTGCAACAAAATCCATAAAAAGTAAAGAAATGTGGTACCCTAGCATATCAAGAACACGATTAAAAGCCTATAAGTAGGCTAATTACTGAGTTTTTGTACTTACTCTATGATTTTCATGTTTTTCAGGTAAATAAGAAACTGATCAAGGTTGGGAGCGGATTCTGGACCAGGTGCCATAGACATGCCTCACCCACCGTACTTAACCCTTTTGTTTTTAAATATTTTGTGTTCTTCCTTATTTTGTGTTTTAACTATTATCTTGTATTTTAACTACTTATATATGAACTCTAATTTAATATGATATAAATATATTGCATATTATGTTTTAATTTTTTTTTGTTTTATTTTGTGAAAAATTTGTCTGTCTTTTTACACCATCGAGTCAACCCATAGTTGCAACAGTGACAGTGCTAGTCTTCCCCCTTAAGCGCATGTACCTACACGTGGGAGGCCCTCCATTTGCGCATGAGGGGATGTGAGGTGCGCGAGGTTGGCTTTTTTCACTTGGTTGACCTTCTATCCAATTGTTTTTTACCTTGGTGTGTTAACCTTAAATTTACTTGAATTTAAACCTACTAGAGAAATCTAAGAAAATTTAAAGTTCCTAACACGTGGAAAAGCTAGCTTGGGAGGGCACACATGATCCATATAAATAACCATTCGAACCTTGCAGAAGTGATACTTGTGGGAATCGCTCTAACACGCTAGCATGTGATTGTCTTAAGTGGTTAGATATACTTTAGGATTCCAAGAGAGTACTTTTGGATGAGAATGTAATATACATTATAGAAAATTACCAAAATTCTTTTAGGATGATATTCTAAGTTGCATACTAATTTTGATGCTTTTAGCTGTGCTAGAAAGGGAATATGCAGGATCAAGCTTCGATTAAAGACAATTTAGACAAGTAAGTTATGCATGATGTAGAAAAGTACCTAAATACCCTTTGGACAAGATTTTGAGGTGAATGTTATTGTAAATATTTCCCACTATGTTAGTGAAGATGATGGACTATTTAGATCTACACTCTAGGTGTCGATTATGCATCGATTATGGAGACACATACATAGGGGCACGAGACAATTCTCTCTAAGGAACTCGGCAAAATAGTCTCGTAACTTCGAGAGAAAGGGTGCCTCTCATAAAGAGGGTTGCAGTGACCAAGCCCGGGTGACTGTTTACCAAAAACACAAGTCTCCGCAAAGTCGTAGCCCAGTGACGTAAGGTCAAGGAAGTTGGTGACCTGATGACAGGGGAGACACGCGCGGTCCCTTTTCAATAATGAAGGGACATTAATAAAATTATAATGATTCTACTTTTAATACAAAACTATATCGTTACTCCATGCATGTCATTAAAGTTTTTAGACTAACTCAAGCAAACAATAATCATACCTCAAAATCTTTTAAAAAGAATAGTTCAAAACATGTCTATCTAAGTGAGTATATCAAGTTTATATGTTCATGGTGTTCGTGTTTAGACATAGTTTGAACTCAGCTTCCGTTGATGAATTTTCAACTATTATTTTTCACATTTCAGTTAAATTTCAATAATTCCAATATTTTGTTTTGAAAAGTTCATTAGAAGACTTTAAGGTATGATTATTTTCATACTTGAATTAGTTTAAACACCTTCATATCATGCATATAGTAACCGTCCAATCATATATTTTGAAAATTTACCTACCAAATAGTAAAAATCACTACCAAAAAAAAAAAAAAAAAAAAAAA